CCCACAAGACATATCAAAGGTAATATGGACAGTATATGTAAATGGATGGTGGAATGGAGGTGGTATAGATGGCAAAAAGATAACTGTTGCTAAGAGCAATGAAGGAAGTTGTGGAGAGCGATGATCTTGAATCTAGAAGAAAATAGTCTTGCATGTTATCAGTTATTTTTTATATTTTTTTCTTTTGACTTTCAGCCTTTTGTTGTAATGATTTGTTTTTTTTATTTGATTTTTTTTTCTGGTGTATTTCAGGTGCAGTCAGTGGCAGAGGACGAATAGGCTTAAAATTTTTGAGTCTTCATAAGGTGCGCAGGAAACGTCGGCCAGCACTACGGTTTTCTCATGCATACGAGTCTCTTCTAGATGACCACTATGACAGACAAGCAAAAGTAGGTTGTCTCCCCAATATTATTCCATCTTCATGCTGCTAAGATCTCTATTTTTATTCTTCTTTCAAATTTAAGTTCAATCAAATTTAAAAATAATTGTTTTGTGAATTTTTTAATTGCTTAGCAAGATAAGAGTAACACACACACACACATATATATATATATATATATATATATATAGCAGACCTTAAAACTGTATTTTCTCATATATATGAAGGGGAATAAGCATGCTAAAAAACACAGCTCTGCAAATAAATAAATAAAAAATTATTGAGTATTTCCTTTCAAATCGAAAGAAATGAATTACAAAGATTCTTATGAAACAGTCTCATAAAATATTCTGTTTTTACAACACAACAGAATTATTTGCATTAGTATGATAAAAGAAACAGAATGTGTCTATTTCATAAGAGAGTCCATATTTACTTTATTTTATGAATGCGTGTAATTTTCCAGCAGTCAGCTGTGATATTGCTACTATTGATAATTTTTTGTTGACATAACTCTTTTCATGTATTTTTCATGTTGCTTAATTTATTTTAAAATCATAAGTTTTGATAAATATGAGAAATGTTGAGTAATTAATTATATGAAATGTGTGAGTATTAAGTTGTGCACAATCACGATGAACACTATGCAGAGTCAAAATATGATACTCACCCTCACAAGAAAGTTCCAAACTAGCATCCAGTTGGCTGACAAAAGACAGTGGGCAGTAACTTAATAAACACACCCATACTCAAGCATATAAAGCAGATGAATATTTATTGATCCTAGTATCCGTACCAAGGTCAATAGTCAATCAGAACCTATAGAATAGTTTGGCCCAAGTAGGATAATGGATCATTCCAGCCTGTTATATAAACCACTCACCAACTGGCTCAGAGAGACATTTGTCAAATCAGACTCAATTTGCAATACAGACCAGTACTTGAGTACTGGTCTGTTTGTCCAATTAAATCCTACACACTGGTCAAAGGTTTACAGAACAACTGACAAATGATCATTGTGTCATGCAGTCATGAGAGCCAATCTATGAGGTCTCATTCTATCTGAAAATCAGAAGGCATCTCAAAGAAAATCACAAAATGAATCCCAATCAGTATGCTGGTAGTAGAAAGAAGTCTTGTAAATAGGAGATTCCTTTCTAATAGACAACTCAAAAAGAAATATCAACAGAAACTACTGCATGATTCAAATTGCCAAGAGGACAAGTTGTGATGCTCGATAAGAGCTAGAAGAGTAGGTAAGGAACACATCAATTAAGAAAGCATGTTGATTAAATTTATTAGGAAACAAGTAGGGAAGTCCACTAAGAGACTGAGTAATGGAAAAATTCAAAGTTTGAATACCAGCTACATTAGTAACATTGGCTTGAACCAATTGATGTGATGAGCATTAAAATCACCAAAGACAAATTAGGGCCATATACTTATAAACTTGGGAAAGGAATGAATCCTCTTCTTCTCTCCCCAGCTATGGGTAAATAGCAGGACAGACTGGGTTCTATAGCCTTGGATAACAACTGGTCTAGGAGAAGGACAACTCTGAATTCAAAACCTGCTGAGGATCATTTGGGGACCTTGTCGCACACAAAGCACTAGGTCTCTGTATTTGGCTCTTCAAAAAGTGTGGTTGGTTCTGCACAAAGCCTTCACCACTATAATATAGACTTAATCCATTTCAGAAATATATATATATATATATATATATATATATATAAACATATATATATGTGTGTATGAATTATAATTAATGAGATACAAACATTTTACCTCATACAGATGACGATTTTGTCCATGGGAAAAGAAGTTTTTTCCTGGACTTATCAATGCAAATACATTTACTAAAATGAATGAATTCCCGTGTTTCTGCCAAAACATGAGAATTCATTCATTTTAGTAAATTCTTTAGATCACATTGATTGTAATTCACTTATATGCGCTATAATAAAAATTATATTGACCTGTGTTTTTTGTGGATCAGTTTTAATATTTTATATTAATTGGATCAACTTGATTACTTACCCTTTTTTTTTTTTTAACATATATATATATAGAGAGGAGAAAGGGGAAATTCTGAGAGCAACAAAAGGTATTCAAGTGGCAACAATTCTTTTAAACAGGTTTTGTTGATCAATCCTCTAGAGTGAGTGGTCATCATTAAATATAAATAAATGAATGGCAGAAATGCCCAACAAACAGATTTGACAACGTTTACAATAAATAATAACAAGAAAAAGAAAAGAGGGCAAAAAATAATCTAAAGCAAGCAAACAATATATGCAAGGCAAAAAGTTAACAAAATGAGAATTGGGTTTGATGCACAAGAACAAATTCAAATGGGCAAACAGCATTCTGACTTCAAGACAGACTGAGATTGAGTTGTATGAAACAAAGGACCAGGCTATTTCATTGGCTCAGAAGAAATCCCAGCATGCATTTTTGTGCTTCTGCCTATAAATTGGGGAGGAGAAAGTGTTTTGCAGTCATTCCCAATATAGATTGTCATGGATTTTTTTGTAGGTTTCCTGTGAATATGTGGTATTTTGGTACATGTTGGATTGAAAGGCGATGGATAAGTTCTTGTGAATGAGTAAATTGTAATGGATGAATGGGTCATGAATCTGATTAGCTAGGTCTAGGATAGTTAATGTTAACCAGCCTCTCCCCACTTCCTTTTTGGCCTTGTGCCACAATTGTTTTTTAAAAAAGCAATAAATAATCATTTCCAGTATAGTTTGGAACAAACAAATACCATCTGTCCAATTTCTTTAGTTTTTTTTCAACTTTTGACCAAAGTGGTTTTATGAAATTGGTAAACTTTCCAAAGATCATTTTTGATTTTTTTTTGAATCTGAGTACCTTTGATTGTTTCTATAGACATTATGAACAATTACGTTTTTTGTCTGTTTATGAAACTGTCTTGCTAAGCTTCCCTCATTTGCTGGAGTCAATTTCAAGTTATTTAAAGGTGATGTCATTTACAACAGTTAAACTGAATGTTTATACAATTTTTTTTTTTATTTTTTTATTAAGGAATACATAACTTTTCAAGCTTTAATAAACAAGTTGGGGCTATTGTAAATAAAAAATGGGTATTTTTTTTTAAGGTCAAATAAAGGAAATCAAAAAATGAATGGGAATTTTCTTTTAATTTTATCTTAATCATTTTAACCCAAGCATGCTGTGAGAGGGAAGAAACAAAGAGGTCAATGAAAGAACAGATATAATCATACTTATTATAAAACCCAGGTTGTGTGTGTCTGTACATTTATATATTGGATTGGATTTCCTACATTTTTCTACCGATTTCAACAAAACTTCATAGGACTACGTAAAATTACCTTGCAGTGGTTCTGACAATGCCAAAAATTGGAAAAACACAATTGTTTTTGCACAAAATCAATTTGAAAACACGATTAAGAGGCACCACGAGAATGAAAGGGGGATAACTCATATCAAGTTATACTTAAAACCCAGGTTGTTTGTGTGTGTGTCCATTTATATATGGGACCGGATTTCCTACATTTTTCAACCGATTTCAACAAAACTTCACTTAAAAGGGGAAAGAAGACAGGTCGTGTTTTGTATTGTCTTGTACACTTTTTTATTTATTTTTACATTCAGAATGCATTAAAAATTCCATTTACAAGACAATTGTTTATAATAAAATTCTATTCAATCGGTAGACTCATAACGATTGAAAACAATGTTTTTGTTTGAGTTTGGGTTTGACCAATTTGTAAAAAAAACAAAACAAAAAAAAATAAAACTAATTAAGACATGTGTGTCCGTCAACCTTAAACAATAATCTTTGTCAATTTTATTTTTCAGTCTTTATGATGGTTAGTACTTGATCTATCTCTTACTGTTACATCCCCGGGCAATGCCGGGCTCTACTGCTAGTATATACATATATATTTAATTGCTACATCAGCCACAGGATACAAACAAAGAGGAAGCTTATACTTAACATAAGGAAGAAGCAGCTGAAATTTCTGGGACACGTAATGAGAAAGGAGGGCCTGGAGAATATGATACTCACAGGTCGAATAGAGAGAATGAGAGACAAGAGAAAGCAATGGATGACATACCTGGCGGGCTTAAGCAAATGGATGACAGAACGTGGTCTGGGGGAGGTGGCTGAGGCACAAAACTTGTGGAGAGCCAAAAGGGATGGGGGAAGTGGAGAGCCATGATCATCTACATCCTGAAAGGACATGGTACTAAAAAGAAAGAAAGATCATCCACAGTAAATTTGCATCCACGTTCTTATAATGTTTCACCGTTTTTGGCAGATCTTCTGCTATTGCAATGTGGAATATTTAATAACAAAAGTGATGGAAACAAAAAGAAAAAGTATCTAAAAGAAAACAGCTTGATTAAATACCGAAAACATCTTCTACATTTAAAATTATCAGCATATCGTTTTGATCATGCACATATTTAGTCACATCAATGTAAAAATATGGAAAGATCTGGGAAAGCCTTCGAACACCAAAGGATTTTTACGGGCTGTTATAAATAAATAAATTTTGTCAGAGGTCAGTTTATTGCTTAATATAAAAGAAGAGGTAGGAAAAGAAAGGAGAAAAGAATATTAAAAAGGTTATAAAAGAACGGTAGAAAGAAAGAATATAAAAGAAGAAAAAGGAAGGGGAAAAGAAGAGGAAGAAAAAGAAAGGAGAAAAGAAAGAATATATAAGAAGAAAAAGAAAGGTAAAAAGAAAGAATATAAAAGAGGAGGAAAGAAAAAGGAAGGGGAAAAGAAAGAATATAAAAGAAGAGGAAAAAAAAAGGAAGGGGAAAAGAAAGAATATAAAAAAGAGGGGAAAGAAAAAAAGAATGGTGAAAAGAGAAAGAATATAAAAGAAGAGGAAAGAAAAAAAGGAGAAAAAAAGAAAGAATATAAAAGAAGAGGAAAAGAAAAAGGAAGGGTAAAAAAAGAATATAAAAAGAAGAGGAAAGGAAAAAAGGAAAGGAAAAAAGAAAGAATATAAAAAGAAGAGGAAAGAAAAAAGGAAGGGGAAAGCAAAAAGGAAAAAAGAAAGAATATAAAAGAAAAAGGAAGGAAAAGAAAAAAAGGAAGGGTAAAAGAAAAGAATAAAAAAAAGAAGAGAATATAAAAGAAAAAAAAAAGGAAGGGTAAAAGAAAGAATAGAAAAAAGAAGAGGAAAGAAAAAAGGAAAAGAAGAAAGAAAAAAGAAAGAATATAAAAAAGAAAGAAAAAGGAAGGGGTAAAAGAAAGAATATAAAAAGAAAGAGGAAAAGAAAAAAGGAAGGGTAAAAGAAGGGTAAAAGAATATAAAAAAGAGGAAAAAAAAAAAGGAAGAATATAAAAAGAAAGAATATAGAAAGAATATAAAAAGAAGAGAAAAGAAAAGGAAAAAGGAAGGTAAAAAAGAAAGAATAAAAAAAAGAAAAGAGGAAAAAAAAAGGAAGGGTAAAAGAAAGAATATAAAAGAAGAGGAAAGAAAAAGGAAGGGTAAAAGAAAGAATATAAAAGAAGAGGAAAGAAAAAGGAAGAAAAGGAATAAAAGAAAGAAAAGAAAGAAAATATAAAAAAGAGAAGAAAGAAAAAAAAAAGGAAAAAAGAAAGAATATAAAAGAAAAAGAAAAGGAAAAAAAAAAGGAAGGGTAAAAAAGAAAGAATATAAAAGAAGAGGAAGAAAAAAAAAAGGGTAAAAGAAAGAAAATATAAAAGAAGAGGAAAAGAAAAAAGGAAAGGAAAAAAAAAGAAAAAGAATATAAAAAGAAGTAAAAGAAAGAAAAGGGAAGAATATAAAAGAAGAGGAAAGAAAAAGGAAGGGGAAAAGAAAGAATATAAAAGAAGAGGAAAGAAAAAGGAAGGGTAAAAGAAAGAATATAAAAGAAGAGGAAAGAAAAGAATGGTGAAAAGAAAGAATATAAAAGAAGAGGAAAGAAAAAGGAAGGGGAAAAGAAAGAATATAAAAGAAGAGGAAAGAAAAAAAAGGAAGGGAAAAAAAAAAAGAAAGAATATAAAAAGAAAAGAAAAAAGAAAAAGGAAGAAGGGTAAAAAGAAAGAATATAAAAGAAGAGGAAATATAAAAAAGGAAGGGGAGAATATAAAAAAGAGGAAAGAATATAAAAGAAGAGGAAAGAAAAAAAAGGAAGGGTAAAAAAAAAGAATATAAAAGAAGAGAAAAGAAAAAAAGGAAGAATATAAAAGAAAAAAGAAAGAATATAAAAGAAGAGGAAAGAAAAGAATGGTGAAAAGAAAGAATATAAAAGAAGAGGAAAGAAAAGGAAGGGTGAAAAGAAAGAATATAAAAGAAGAGGAAAGAAAAGAATGGTGAAAAGAAAGAATATAAAAGAAGAGGAAAGAAAAAGGAAGGGTAAAAGAAAGAATATAAAAGAAGAGGAAAGAAAAAGGAAGGGTAAAAGAAAGAATATAAAAGAAGAGGAAAGAAAAAGGAAGGGTAAAAGAAAGAATATAAAAGAAGAGGAAAGAAAAAGGAAGGGTAAAAGAAAGAATATAAAAGAAGAGGAAAGAAAAGAATGGTGAAAAGAAAGAATATAAAAGAAGAGGAAAGAAAAGGATTAAAAAAGAAAGAATATAAAAGAAGAGGAAAGAAAAAGGAAGGGGAAAAGAAAGAATATAAAAGAAGAGGAAAGAAAAAGGAAGGGGAAAAAAGTGGCAGACTATATATATATATATAACTAGATTAAAAGACATACTCTGTGTAGAATTTTCAGCTTCATTAAATGCCTAAAACATCTTTTACATTTAAAATTATCAGCATATGTTTTTGTTCATGCACATGTTTAGTCATATCAACGTAAACATAACCTTTAGTCCAGTGAAGTCCTAAAGAAGCATAACACGTTTCACAAAAACGTTTTTTCACTTTATGTGATATTATTTGTTGTTACCACAGTAAAATAAACATTAGAAAGTTTTCTTATTAATAGAAAGTTTTATATGTTGAGAGACATTGAACCGAGAAGGATCAATACAGAAAACCCGTGGGAAGAATTGATGATTTTCCTTCTCATATAGACGACGACAACCTGAACTGTACATCAAGAGTTTAAACAATGGAAATTGACGCCGGTGTTGACTGACAGGTGTTCTACGCAGCTGGAAATGTGAACCGTAAAGCGAAAACTACATTTTTTGTAAACAATGAATTTGGAGTTGATTCTCCTGGTCAAAAGTTGATTTGAGAAGAGAGATTGGTGGATAAGCCACCCACACTCACTGAGGAGGTTTGGTGAGAGGTAATGATATGAGAGAGTGGGAGAAGGGAATTCCCCAAAATTATGTCAATAAATACAAATGCGTGAAGCAAATTCGCCAGTCGGAACTGAAGAGACAGTCAGTCAACTGGCTGATCAGTTGAACTTTCTGCCTTTGGGCAGAGAGGATGCTACGCCGAAGGGCGGATTCTCTTTCAGGGGAGGTAAACTGACCCTGAACCCGTTTATACAGGCTCAATGGGCATATTTTTGGCCGAGCACATAGGCTCGGAGGTCCAACGTTAAAATTGCCTTGTGCCACATGACGCCCTCGTGGTAGTGGGGGGGTGACTGAATATCGTCGGAACTGGAGAGAGTAGCAGAGTAGCCGCAGATGAGAGAGCTCGTCCCAGCCACTGGCCATGATATATCCCACTGTGATTGCCTGCTGACGAGAACTCCCAACATCAACCTTATGCCGGACTATGCAAACTCTGATATAAATTCTATATAGGACTGATATAAAAAAAGAGTATTTACTTTTTGTTCAGTTTATTCAAGTGTTGTTTTCTTTTCTCTGTATGTCTCTGCCATGCTTGGACCCCCGCCCAACACAAAAATACCTGTGACAATTCGATCACGGCTGCCTTATGATCTAAAAAAATCATAATGTGCGATAGGGTAGCTCAGGATCAAAGCAATCTTCATCAATCAGCTGCAGTGTTGGAGGTCTTGTTGGACGACTGGGGAGGGTGTTGCACAATTATTGTCATACTTCTTTCCACTAAGATTGTTCTTGACATATAAAAAATTTATTTAGCGTTATTACATATATACTAACAGTAGAGCCCGGGGATGTAACAGTAAGAGATAGATCAAGTATCAACCATCATAAAGACTGAAAAATAAAATTGACAAAGATTATTGTTTACGGTTGACGGACACGCATGTCTTAATTAGTTTTTTAAAACTCAAACAAAAACATTGTTTTCAATCGTTATGAGTCTACCGATTGAATAGAATTTTATTATAAACAATTGCCTTGTAAATGGAATTTTTAAAGCATTCTGAATGTAAAAATAAAAAAAAGTGTGCAAGACAATAAGAAACACTACCTGCCAAAAAAAAAGTGAATTTTTGTTGAAATCGGTTGAAAAATGTAGGAAATCCAATCCCATATATAAATGAACACACACACACAAACAACCTGGGTTTTATAATAAGTATAACTTGATATGAGTTATCCCCCTTTCATTCTTGCGATGCCTCTTAATCGTGTTTTCAAATTGATTTTGTGCAAAACAATTGTGTTTCTCCAATTTTTGGCACTGTTAGAACCACCGCAAGGTAATTTTACATAGTCCTGTGAAGTTTTGTTGAAATCGGTTGAAAAATGTAGGAAATCCAATCCAATATATAAACGAACAGACACACACACAACCTGGGTTTTATAATAAGTATGATGTGTGTGTATGATGATTATTCCAGATTTTATTTTGTTATGATGGGAATATAAATTTATGAGATCATTTTGTTAGGTGATTTTTGATTAAACTACTTTCAAAGAAAGATAAAATATTGGGTTTTTTTTCCGTTTCATATGTAAATTTTATCGTATGTTCAACTTTGTTCAGTTTATCTACAAGATCAGGGATATATTAATAGAGCATCACTAATGTATTGGAAATATGTTGAATCTTTAGGTAAGATATTTTGGAAAGGCCCAGATTCAAGAAATTCTAAGTTGATACATACCATCACTCCATTTAAGAGTAATTCCAGTGGTAATTCAAATTATTGTTTATAAAAATTATTGTAAAATGGGAAATAGCATTGATTGGTGATGACATGGCAGATTTATATTATTTTAGCTATTAGTAAAAGGGAAGGGTTTATTTATGGGTCAAAGTGCTCAATATCAGGAATAGAGCATATATAAATATAAAAGTGGTCATGATTTGAAAATTGCATTTAAGCATGAAACAGACTGTCATTGCTGCTGGGTCCACTATATATATATATATATATATATATATATATATATATAAAGAAAGAACTGTAAGATATATAATCCGGTGTTCTTATAGATATTTTAACTGATTTAAAATGTTTTTTTTTGCTACACAGTATTAACCATGTTTCAAAAATGAAAGCTGAAAGCTTCAAATTTAATTTTGTAATTAAATTAATAACATTAGTTCCATTTCATCCTCAAGCAAATTTTTGAGGCCAAAAATTAAATTCGAAGCTTTTAGCTTCCATTTTTGAAACATGGTTAATATTGTGTAGTGAAAAAACCATATTTTAAATCAGTTAATTTATAATATATAATCTGTAGAGGAGACTAAATAAATAAAAAGAGAAAAGAGGGAAAACTATTTTTAACCCTCTGAGGGACTTTATCAGGGCAATGGGTGGTGGGTGTATGTCACTAAGAATCCTGAAATTTTTAATAAGTGTGTGACAATCTCAGCAAATTATTTAAGAAGCAAGTAGGATTTATTTGACTGCATGTGTTTATATACAAAGGCGAGGATGTCATTGGTTTATTCATGAATGTTCTCAAATTTAAAAACCTTGATAATGCATCTCATCAGGTAAATTACTGGTGAGTGAATTTTTTTATGTAGGAAACTCACAAAGCATATAACTTGTTTAAAATGTATATCCCTTAACATCCTCTCTTGTTTAATATCTGTGCTGCCATTGACTGCCAATCTATGGGTCATGAAATACTTATGAAAAATTATTTCTTATTTGCTTCTTCACTTAATTTAAATTTTATATAGGTCATATTTGATTGGTTGATCTGAGTAAAGTCCACAAACCTTATAAACACGTCCTTTTTCTTTTTTCGTAAGAGGTTGTATATTGCTTTTAAATCTAAATAAATCATTCACTCACCAGTAATTTACAATCGCCAGAGGAGATGCATTTAATATGCATTGAAACAAGCTAACAATTGTGTAGCAATTTTGACATGTTTCTGATGTAATATCCTAAAATATATATATATATTTAAAGACATTTTTATGTTTAACATTCTTTTTATAGATGGTATTTATCAATTCACCCACAGGAATTGAATGTGGCACAAGGCCTTTTTAATGTGGGTATGTCTGAGCCCGTAGGCCCAGCCAAAAATAAAACACATCTAAACCCGTTCAAGCGGGCTAGTTCCGTCAACCTCCCGAACAAAAACCCCACCCTTGGCGGAGATTCGTCCGGGTTCCTCTCTGCAAGCAGAGAGTTCGACAGACACCCGACCCGGCAGCTCACAAAAGCGCAGATACTACACTTTGATCCTAGCCACCGGGCCGAGTGGGTATTCTTTTTTCGATACAAGTATTTAAGTAAATGCTCTGTTTATAATAAACAGTATTAAACAACATGTACCGGCCTGAATGTCCGAGAAATTTTTCATAGAAAATATTTGTCCTTCGACAGGATTCGAACCTGTATCCTATATGGAACCATCATATAGCCTGACGTGCCTTATCTCTCGGCCACTATATATATATATATATATATATATATATATATATAATAGTTTTAATAAATGGTTTGGGAGCAAATAAAGTGGTGGGTGGGTGTCTCTAAGAATCCTGAATTTTTTAATAAGTGTGTGACAATTTCAACAAATTATTTAAGAAGCAAGAATAAAATGAATTGAGATTTTTTTTTAATCTGGTTCTAACTGGTTTTTGTTTTTGTTCTTACAGTTTGTACTGACCAATGTAGGAGACTGGAATTTTGACATGTTCAACCTTGACACTTTAACAGGTGGTAAGTAAATTATATAAATTGGAAAGCTCTACATGAAAATGTATTTTATGTTTATAGGAAATTATAAGCTTGTAACTTTCAATGCTTCAATAACCCAATTCATCACCACCAAGCTAACACTAAATTGTCACCAGTCACAATGAATGGTGGCACCCTCAAAGAAGTTCCTTGCTTTGGATATCTACTGGGACTCAAGTTCGCCCCGGGACTCACATGTATGATCCATCACAAAAGATGTTCCTTATACCACTCCAGAAAGAACCTTGTCCTGGGTATGATGATAAACTACTTCTGGCAGCTAGGCCTCTGATATGGATATTGGTGGTTTTGAGGATATGGAACCATATATTAATTACAGTTGTTTCCAAGTTCACCTTGACTCTGGGTAGTAGCACCTGTTAGGGTCCTAGCTATGGGCAAATAGTGAATCCCCCAAAGGTAAAAAGGTGGCAATAAAAGGAGGATTTATTTAACAAAAAATGGAGGTTCTTGTAAATAAGTAGACATGGAAGATAGCTAAACGGGTGGGAGAAAGACTCCACTCAAAAAGAAAGAGTTCATCTTACTTATTATAAAACGCAGGTTGTGTGTGTGTGTCTAACGTTTATATGTTGGATCGAATTTATTACATTTTTTAGCCGATTTCAACAAAACTTCACAGGACTACATAAAATTACCTTTTGGTGGTTCTAACGGTGCCGAAAATGGTAAAAACACAGTTGTTTTTTAAGAAAATCAATTTGAAAACACGATTAAGACACATCGTGAGAATGAAAGGGGGACAACTCACCCACGAAAATGTAAACAAAAGAGATGATGAAAAAGACGCCGAACTTGACGAAAACAAAATTTTATCATCTAATGTTCATATTATTAAAGAGGAAAGATCAAAATATTTTGGGGGTATTTTTTTACATTTTTTAATCATTCCTAGCACGTCTGAAATTTTCGTTAAAAATATTGTTTTTTTTTTTTTAAAAAAAAAGGACAGATAATCATTTTCAATCATTTTTTCGATTTGATAAAAAAAGATTAAAATCATATTTTGATATTCTTTTAAAAGTCAATTATCATTTTTTCAAAACTGATTTTAATAAAAACAGATATTATACTGTTTATTTGAAATATTTTGAACCAAGCTTAACTTAGCTTCTGCGCCGAAAAAATGTAATTTGAAAATAAAACAAAGCAGGTCATAACCTTTCGCATCGCTTGACGATTCACGAAAGGCACATTCATGACGTTTAGATAACTTATGGGAGGGTAATTCTTTCTACGGGTGGAAGGAAGTGAAATTATTTAAGTGAACAAATTATTTACCTCGTTACTTTTAAGGAAAACTTTCAGCACTCTAATTTTTTATTTTTTTTTGTACTTAGCTTTCATTTTTACATTTACGATGCTTTATGGAAAATATAAAGAAATTAAAAAATAAGACTGTTAATAGTGAGATTAAATTTCATAAGAAAAAGGTATCTAATTAATTTAGATACCTTTCTTATGAAATTTTATCAGAAGTGTACATAAAATACTATAATTTTATGTACATTTATTACATTTTACTGTGTTATTTGTATTTCCATTCATTTTATTATTAATTTTGATATTTCATTTATGGAAAAATGTCATAACTGAGATTAATATAAAAATAAGATCATATAAATAAAAGTTTAGCAGTAGTTAAATTTTATAAGATGATACTGTTACTTGTAGGTACCCTTCTCAGTTGAAATTGAAAACTCAAATTAACTTCTCCATACGTGTTTTTAGAAAAAAAAAAAGGGCTTAACAGCGGAGAACAATGCTGAACTCAAATAATGCAGCTAAATTGTATTCTGGTTGGTCTTCCGTACTTGATAATTACTGTCCGACTATAAACACAAAAATTACATTTCTTAATTACCATGGCTAATCTGATTGGTCCAAATTATACAATTTTCAAAGCGCTAGACAATGATAATCTCACGAACATTTTGAAAGGTTGATGTTGCATTTAACTAATGTTAAAATATTTTTTAAAATTCAATTTAAACATTTTTTAAAATCTTTTTAAAATTAAAGAAATAAGAAATAATTGTATTAAATTTTTAAAAAAATTTTTGCTTCCAGAAAATATTGTCCATATTCATAAAAAAAAATTAAAACAAATAAAAGCATTTGAAACTAAATAATATATTCGTTTTATTGAGTTTTGTATGTTACAATTCACAGCTGATTTTCAGGTACGTTGGCCAAAAAAAACCCCAAAAAATACATGATTTGCATTCTTCAAAGCCTTGTATTGTAATCACTAAAACCGATGGTCTCGAATTTCTAGCGTTTTTCATAAAATTAGTTATGGGGGTGTTAATAAATATAAAAAAAATATTTCTGCCATGACTTTAATAAAAAAAAACATATTCATAATAATTTCGATCATCTGTGAATAGTTTCTGAAAGTTTCATTAACATCTGACAATTATTTTTATATTTGCAAGATTTTCCAAATTAATGTGTGTAAATACAAAAAAACGCTAAAAATTATCTATGTTATTTACTACCCCTTGTTGCGACAAAGAGAAACAAGGTTTTTAAATCAAAATTTAGAATATTCTAAAAAGATGGAAAAATTTTAAAAATAATTAAAAAAAATTTAGTCTATCCTCTTCATAAAAAACAAAGCATTTTGACGATAAAATTTTGTTTTCATAAACTTTAGCGTCTTTTTCATCAGACTATGCTCTATGTTTTAGCGATTCGTGGAGTGACTTAGGTTAAAAACCCAGGTTGTTTTTGTGTGTGTGTGTGTTCCTTTATATATGGGATCGGATTTCTTACATTTTTCAGCCGATAAAAAAAACATCCACTTTTTTTTTTGGCTGGTAGTATTTCTTATTGTCTTGCACACTTTTTTCTTTATTTGCATTCAGAATGCTTTAAAAATTCCATTTACAAGACAATTGTTTATAATAAAATTCTATTCACCAATCGATAGACTCATAACGATTGTAAACAATGTTTTTGTTTGGGTTTGACCAATTCATAAAAAAAAAAAAAAACTAATTAAGACATGCGTGTCCGTCAACCTTAAACAATAATCTTTGTCAATTTTATTTTTCAGTCTTTATGATAGTCAATACTTGATCTATCTCTTACTGTTACATCCCCGGGCTCTACTGCTAGTTTTAAATAAAACTTATGAAAAAAAATGTTATTTTCAGTCACTTTCATAAGAAAAAATCTGGTGTTACTGTAGGATATCTTATGAGTCCTGTAACCTCCAAGAATCATAGGGCACCATATGAATTGCAGCTGGATATCTTGGGAAAGATAGGCTGATGGAGACTAACCCTCTCCAGAATGGTGTGAATTCAGAGTTTTCCTTCTTTTAGACTAGTTGCCAACCAAGGTGATAAAATTCTGTCTGTCCTGCTATTTACCCATAGCTGGTGGGAGAAAAGATGGATTCCTGTTCTGGGTATTACGATAAACAACATCCAGTGGCAAGGCCTCTGATCGGGAGGTTTTGAGGTGCATGGAACCATCTCTTAATTGTTTCCAGGTCCACCCTGACTCGAGGTAGTAGCACCTGTTAGGGTCCCAGCTATGTGCTGATTCCTTAAGTTTTTGTATTTTCCAGTGATGTTCTCTGTCTATTATTTCAACCTCATCCCACAGGGGGTGGTGATCTCCCTTTCAGTTATGGCATCTGGAAGAGGCATGGCACATGAAGCTAGAACAATCTACCCCAGTGGACGAATTAAAGGGTTCAGTTCAAAATTCCAATCATCAGAACAAGGCCAAAGTGTACAACAACTGAAAAATCATGAATATGGCAATAAAGTTGAGGACAATAGTTTGAATAATGTAAATAATTACAATACCTCATCTCAGAAATATATATATATATATATATATAGTTTAAGAAAAAGTAGGTAATCCGTATGGGTAAACCTAAGGAGGATAAAATCCAGAGAGCTCAATGTAAATCCAGAGCAAATAATTTAAATAAAAACAGACCACTTTAAGGTTCCATGTAATAAATTTTTTTTACCACAGACCTTTTAAAGGACTGCGGATCATCAGACTTTACTTCCAAACAAAAAATGAAAAGAAAATTTACACATTTTTGACGGGCTGTATTAAACATATGTAAATTAACGAAGTGAGGAAGTGAGAGCATATAATTGACTGACTTTAGTTCTACTTGCTCAGATCGTGAAATTTAAGACCCACCATACTGGGTATATACACTCACTCTGTATTCCAATTGTATGGAAGAAATTCCACTCAGGTTTTTTCCCAAAGGTCCTCTGTTTTGTGTCTCTCTAAAGGTTACAAGTCTATTGAAACTGAAGCTCACCTGCAGGCCTCAAGTGTAACTCATATATACGATCTATTGATAAAGATACTGGAAATGGGGTTGGTTCATTGTACCACCCCAGTAATTATCTGACTGCCCCTTGCTATACTTTGTCTTTACAAGAGCTAAATCAGAACAAAAAATGAGTATTGGACTGGAGCTGCCCAATCCTAACCCTGCCTGCCTTGATAGATTTCAAAAGTGTCTATGCGGCCTTGTAGGTGATGAACTATTTTCCACCCTACAACTTCTTTTTCAACATACTACATACATGGGGATGAATAATCCTCATTCCCTTCATATCTTAACCCCTTCAACTCTAAGATTAACTGTTATCTTTCCTACATAACCTGCACTTCTTGCCTTCTCTTATGCTCATACAACACCATACAGTTTGGGTACCTTGATGTGGCATAATGGTTAGCAAGTTTGTCTTCCCAGAACAATTACGACTGAGTAGTGAGTTTGATCCTCACTGGGTGCCCCCTACTTTCGGCCTTGTGCCACATCTAAGCTGTGCTTGGAAAATAACTACAACACAATACTAACTGTTGAGCCTTATACTGGGTGAAGTCAAGTGTCAATTGTTACCTATCCTCACTTCTTATGCTTATATTCAAATCAAATACTTCTTTAGTAACACTTTACCTTGGATGGC